CAAAGGAAGCTTAGCAGTACAGGAAATTTGCCCATTAGTTTAAATTAGGATACTACAGAGTATAATTACTTATTGAAAGTATCTTGCCCCTCATATAGTCTGTCAGGACATGAGTGTGTACTTTCTCATGCTCCAAACATTTACCTTAATATTGGATTTTAGAGTGATGGAGGCAAGTTACCTCAAGTTAAACTTGGGTACCAATCTCCTAATACCTCATTTTTCACTGCTTAGTAATTCCATTCACAGTGAATACAAAACTGTTCTTTTTCACTTTCATCTTCATTTTGTGATACAGAATCATAGTACTAGAATGTTCTAGAGCAGTTAGGGCACGGTGCCGAATGTTTTTGTGGGCCTTACTGGGGAATGACTATAAAAAACCGTCACACTTGGCTATGTCTTTGGCTACATCTAGACTACAGAGTTTTGTTGGAAAAAGATACACAAATTGTGAACAACATTTTTTTCCGGAAGAGGCTTTTCGGAAATTTGGCCCATCTACATGGGGCCAAATTTTGGAAAAACCTCCTCTTTCAGAACATCCCTTATTCCTCTAACCGAGAGGAATACAGGGATGCCAAAAGAATGCACCTGCTTTTTCAGAAACTGTTCCGAAAAAGTGGATGTGTTTCCTGGATGCAGCAGAGTTTTTCCGGGATACTATCCTGGAAAAACTCTGCAGTCTAGACATAGCCTTTGACACAGCATGAGCTGGAGTGAGGCAGGGGCTGGAGGCAAGGCAAAGTAAGGTGGGAGACAGTATCAGTCTCTGGAGTGAGGCCCAGGGTAAGCACAACAGGGCTGAGGAAAGGACAAATAGGATTCCACCCCAACGCTAATTCCTACCTTCCTCGCCATCCTAGTCTCGTTGTCACTTAGCTACCCCTCTTTCAGCAGCACTTTCCTATCCTCAGGAGGGTGAGTAGGGGATACAGTAGATTACCTGCAGGAACTCTGTGCCTTCCTTTTCAGGCCTCTCTGTGGCTTCAGGCTTCCTTCCTTCCAGGGAGACAGAAGCATGGATCCTCATGTCTGTCACTTGGGCAGGCTGCCTGGAAGACTGGGGTCAAAGCGACTCAGAACTCCATTACTCCAAGCTCTCTGCCTGTAAGCTGATGAGGTGGCAAGGGCCAGGGGCAAATGTGGAGAGAGAAACTCTCATCCCACAAGCTGAGAAAGGAGTGAACTTGTTGTGAATGTGGGGAGGGGAGAAGAGAAGCCCTGGATCAGTTAGCCAAAAGCACAAAAGAGGGTGTGACGGCACGTTGGGGGTCACCCGTCTCCTGCACCCCGAAATGGCACCAACAGTCTGCACCAGCCGGTGGAATACAG